GATCACATGTGATTCCATTTATATGAAATGTCCAGAAGAAGCAAATGTAGAGAGATGCAAAACACATTAATGATTGTCCAGGGCTGAGGGAAGGAGGCAAGGATGGAGGATGTGGGGAACAATGCCTTAGGGGTGCAGGATTTCTTTTTGGGTAAAAAAAAATGCTGTAAAATTGACCACAGTGACGATGCCCACTCTGAATAACTAAAAGCCACTGAATATGCACTGTATGTGGGGGAATCATCAGGTCTGTGAATTAGACTTCAACACAGTTGTTAAAAACTCTTAATTCCAGGGGCCAGAGATTTAGCTCAGTGGTTTCGCCATCTGCTGCGCAAGTACAAGGACGTGAGTTCGATCCCCGGTACCCCCCCCCCCCCCGCCGCCAAAAAAACTCTTGGTTCGATCCCTGGTACCAAAAAAACCAAAACAACAAAAACAAAAAACTCTTGATGAAAGAGCAAAGTGAACAACGATTATACTGCATTGTAAACCAACCGAGTGGGAAAATATAGTTATACTTGTAAATATAGCAAATATTTCTGGAAGGACTCATAAAATCCCAGGAACACTGATCTGATCTCCTTTGGAGAAGGGAACCTGGTGACTGACTCAGAACAGGAGAACTACTTTTTTTTCTTTGTTTTGTTTTTGAGACAAGGTCTCACTCTAGTTCAGGCTGGCCTTGAGCACACTATGTAGTCCAGGCTGGCCTCAAACTGGTGGCAATACTCCTGCCTCTGCCTCCTGAGTGCTGGAATTACAGGTATCCACCGCCATGCCCAGCAAGCATTATTTTGTAATTAAGAGACACAGGGCCAGGGATTTAGTTCAGTGGTGCCAATGCCTGCCTTGCAAGCACAAAGTCCTGAGTTCAATCCTCGGTACCCCACCCAAAAAAAGATACCTTCAAGAGCATGAAGAGTAACAATGAACACCCGTGGCTACCACCTGGCTTTCAAAGTCATTACTGGGGTGCCAGGCATTTAGCTCAGTGGTTCCGCCGCTGGCCTCGAAAGCACAAGGCCCTGAGTTCGATCTCCGGTACAAAAACAAAAAACAAAACAAAGTTTTACTGGAAATCTTCATGCGCCACTTTCCAGTCATGACACACCAGACCCCTTGAGGTAACCACTCGCCTGCATTTGGAGTTTACCATTCCCGTGCTTTTTACACATTTGCTATATTTTAAGGATCCCTCATTAATATGCATTATTTTGCGTATTTTAAAACTACACATATTCTTCTGCAGTTTTTTTTTCACTCAATGTTCTGGTTTATCATGTTGATAATGTGCAACTTTAGTTCATTTCTCCTGATGTACAATATTCCACAGCCAGTATACAGTATAATATACCCAATATCGATGTCCAATTTTCCAATGGTCACAATGCAACCTCTCATTCCACACGCCCTTCTCACCTTGAAACATGGACGTCCCACTCGCTGACAGGTGAAGTCTGTGACCTCTCCCTTGAGTGGGTCAGTGACAGTGGCAGTAGTGAACCAATGGGATCCCCAATGCTGTTAGAGGTTAGAGCCGGGCATGATGGTGCCCACCTCTATTCCCAGCACTCTGGAGGCTGAGGCAGGAGGATCGCTGCAAGTTCAAGGTCAGCCTGGGCTGTATAGTGAGTTCAAGGCCAGCCCGAACTGCTGTCTCCCACAGATGGGATCTTAGGGTTGTTTTCAGGTCTGTGCAGTTACACACAGCGCTTCTCTGAGCATGCTTGTGCACACTTGTGTGCGCATGCGCAAGAGTGTGTGTGTGTGTGTGGGTGTTGTGCATCCCAACGCGGGGAATGCTGGTATGGCGAGTATGCCAACTTCGACTTTTAGCAGTCACCACATTGTTTTCCAAAGTTGCTACAACTTATGTTCCGTTAGCAGTGTGTATATTCCACCAGCGACGGCACCAAAGCTCCCTGACCCTGGAGATATAAAGTATTTGCCAGTCTGAGTATAGAACGGTCCTACTATATACTTTCTTGAACCTTTGAATTTTGAACTGTTTGAATGAATTAATCCAATATAACCATGTAGACTAAATTAGAGCTTTTGTTTTAAAGATGCTTTATATATTGGAGTTCCATATTAAGATTTCGTTTTTTTATAAAGGAAGTGTTAGTCAAGTAACAAAATCCTCTTACCTCAATCTTAGTCTTTTCTTTTTTCCCCCATTGCTTGGAACCAGAACTCAGGGCCTCGAGAATGCAAAGTATGTGCTCTGAACTACACCCCCAACCCAAGACCTCCTACCTTGTTTCTCTCTCTCTGATTGGGGTGTGTGTGTGTGTTGATGGGGATTAAACCATGGCTATATCCCCAACCCCTCCTTTTTTTATTTTTCATTTTGAGACAGAATCTTGCTAAGTTGCTAACTTGCAACCCTCATGTCTCAGCCTCCCATGGTGGCATGTACCACCACACCTGGCCAAGATCTTGGTTTCTAATACTATTTTGCAAAAGGAACCAGGCTTCTTGAAGAAACAGCTGATTCTAGGACTGTGGAAATACACAAGATGAGCTGGAGATTCATGTAGTGTCAGAAGGGATGGATGTACTAAAAAACACACAGGGCATGATGGTGTAATCCTAGCACTCGGGAGGCTGAGGCAGGAGGATCACCATGAGTTCAAGGCCAGCCTGGACTACATAGTGAGGCCGTGTCTCAAAACAAAAAGATTTGACAACATAAATGTAATATGGTGTATCCTGGATGGGATCCCGGAACAGAAAGAGACATTAGATAAAATTAAGGCATTCTGAACAAACTGTGGACTTTAGTTAATACTAATGAGTCATATTGGTTCACTAATGGTAACAAGCATATACCAGGTGAGATGTTAATCATAGGGAAAATTGGGTGTGAGGTACATGGTAACTCTCTGTACTTCCTTTCTGTTGTTGCTGTTTTTTTTTTTTTTTGAACTTGCAGTGATCCTCCTGCCTCTGCCTCCCAAGTGCTGAGATTACAAGCATGCACCACCATGCCTGGCTTAAAAATAAAGAGGTTTTGATGGCGATTTTTCCCTGGACTGGACACTGAAACCAGAGCCTTGAATATGTCAGCCAAGAGCTCTACCACTGAGCTACATCCTCAGCCCCTTTTATTTTGAGATAAGGTCTCACTAAGTTTCCCAAGCTGCCCTCCAATTTACAATCCTCCTGCCTCAGCCTCCTGAGTAGCTGGGATTATAGGCATGCACCACAATGCCCACCAATTTTGTTGTTGGAGGTCTGTGGAGCTCCACTTTGGAGTTTGTAAAGCAGGCGATGGTCAGGATAGGAAAATGTGTGCTCCCTCTGGGACCCTGTGAGGACTTCATAGGTGAGTCTGGAGGGGGAACATTTACCCAATGGGCTCAGATCCCCAAAGGGAGGTTGGGGTTGCTTCGGCTCAGCTTCTGCCCCATCTCAGCACCATGGGCCTCAGGGCACTGGAGGGAGGAAGCTCAGGATTGGCCTGGCCCGACTGCCTGCCACAGGTACCACAGGTTCCCATCTTGTTTTAGCATCTACTGGTGTGAGCTACCGGAGGAGGTGACTCCACCCCAAGAGCACAGCCCACACAGAATGGCTCCACCAGGATGCCTCCGGTCAGCTCTGCTATGCACAGCACCAGCCCTGGGCTCTCTGTGGCTCCAGCACCTCATGCAGATGAGAATAAGAAGTTACCCTCAGGAACCAACAAGTCTGCTAGCTTAGCCAGGCATTTATTCAGTGCTTCCTGGTACCGAGGTGGTGGCCAAGGTTAGCTCTCAGCATCTCCTGGCCCGATTCCTCCACTGGTCTCCAAACAGGAATCCAACTGCTTCTTACTCCTTTTTGAAATGGACTAGTCACTGTTTAATGTCACCTAACAAATGCCAATGATCTTGGGGAGAGTCTAGTTCAGATCTGCTATTGTGCACTATCAGTATTTGCACTTAAAGGATGTCATTGGACAGGGCGTGGTGGCACAAGCCTCTAATCCCAGGACTCAAGAAGCTGAGGCAGGAGGATCACAAGTTCAAGTCCAGCCTGGGCAATTTAGCAAAGACCCTATCTCAAAAAATCCAGAAGCGGGCCGGGGATTTAGCTTAGTGGTTCTGCCGCCTGCCTCACAAGCGCAAGGACCCAAGTTTGATCCCCGGTACCAAAAAAAAAAAAAATCCAGAAGAAAGCCAGGCATGGTAGCACACACCTATAATCCCGGCACTAGGAAGGCTGAGGCAGGAAGATTGCCTCGAGTTCAAGGATAGCCTGAGCTACATAGTGAGTTCAAAGCCAACCTGAATTGTGTAGTGAGACCCTGTCTCAAGAAACAAAAACAAAAACAAAACAAAACCCAGAAGGAGGGAAGGAAGGACCATCAGTCATGAAGTTCTTTAAATTCACACTCAAATCAGTCCCACCTGTAAAGGTCATTCACTGCGGCACTACTTACAGTAGCAAGAGATCAGAGACAACCTGAATTTCCTTCAAAAAAGAGACTAGTTAGATACATGAGGCTGTTGATATCAGCTCACTTGTATGTGTGCACTGCTCCTTCTGCCACCTCACGCGCGTATGCATTACACACACATCTCTGGGAGCTTTATGCAGAAAGTGGCAGGATGGGCCATGACTCCAAGACCCCAGGCATCTTAAGGGTGAGAATGCCTCCTAGGAAAAGTCCATCAGGGGGGTCACCCATCAGTGGGGTGATGGTCACACACACATAGATAACTCCACAGAATCCAAAACCACTGTCCTAGGACCTGCCTCTCCCCGCCACCAAAGGGCCACAATTCAAATCTGCAAGGGAGGAGACACAGTGTAGGGGTTAAAGGATGAGAATCCTGGGGTCGCCACCCTGAGCTCAAGGCCGGTCCTGCCACACGCCAGCTGGGAAAGACCTTCAGCAGCTTATGCTCTTCTTGGAGCCTCTGTAAAGACAGAGCTTACCAGCCGCAGTAAGTGAGCTATGTATGTTTGTCTCATTGTAGTTCCTATACACAGCAAATCACCATGTGCTCTTTTTTTTTTTTTTTTTTTTTGGTACCGGGGATCAAACTTGGGTCCTTGTGCTTGTGCAGCAGGTGGCAAAACAACTCGAAACAACTGAGCTAAATCCCCGGCAATGTGCTCTTGAATACAGTAACTGTGACCCACCCAGTTAGCCCTTCTGGCTGTTAAAATCCAGCCGGGGATTTAGCTCAGTGGTTCCAGCACCTGCCGTGCAAGCGCAAGGTGCCAAGTTCCCTCTCCCAGCCCTGGACTACCCCTCCCACCACAGGCTCCCCAGCTTCTAGAACCAGCCACACCTATAGGAAGCCACTCCCAAACCTGTGGAGCCCCCTGGTGGGAAAGCCACCCACAGGCAGTGGCAGAAATAGGAATCCACCAGGTAGGGTAGTAACAGAACACTGCAGCTTGTTGGGGGAAGGGCCTCACTGAACTGTGATGGTGCCCATTACTGCCCTCAAAGTGGGGCCACACACGTGCAGGAGCCCAACCAACCTGGGGACAGGCTCATCATCCCCGGGAACCCCTGCCTGAACTGTGCTCGGTAAGGAACCAGACCTGTGGCTTACCCTGAAGGAGGGGAGGGAAACAGTTTGGAAATCACAAAAATATATTAAAACAGTTGTTGTCTTCTCTCTCCAAACTGGCCTCCCTTCCCACTCCAGCATTCACCACAGACTTTCAGAGAAAAAGATGCCCAAGGCAGGAAAATGGAGGTGCCCCAGCTGCAGCCCAAGACTTGGGGATCCCTCCAGCCTGGGAGTGGAGGGCAGCTAACAGTCTCTACAGGCTCGACGCCACCGCCGACGAGGGGGCTGCTGGGAGGCCGGAGGTGCAGGAGGGTCAGGCAGGACACAGCGGACAGTCAGGCCTTGCCACAGGGACAGAAAAAGAAGAGAAATGAACAGGGTGAAGAGAGGAAAGAGTGATGTTACAGCAGCAGGGGAGGGACAGAGGAGTGAGGGAAGCCAGGGTGTAGGGAGCCAGGAGCCCCCAGGAGACTACCCCTCTGTGGCTGGAGAACAGGAAGCTGAGGAGCTGGCAGCAGATGCTGCTAAGAGGGAGAAAGGGGGCTGGGGGAGAGGAGAAGGGCACTGGGCCCTTGGGATAGGGAGAAAGTGGGTTCTGCCAAGGCCACGGCCAAAGAGCAGAGAACAGAGGGCAGGAGAGAAGGGAAATTCCCAGAGCAGGCAAGACCAGGCCACAGCGACCACCCAGACCAGGAAAACTGGTGCATGCCCAGAGGGCTTGGGCCCAGCGCCAACACCCAGAGGAGACAAGCAGTGCCATCCAGAGCTGGCAGGGAGGTGAGCAGGCCCTCCAGGCAGACTCAGATGGAGCCAGGAGCAGGGGGGGGCCCGCACCCTGCCCTCATGTGAGCTAGAAGGTCCTGCGGCCCAGTCTTTTGAACACGCTCACGGTGCCCGCATGGTCCATCTGGGCACCGAGGCCCTCACTGGAGCTGCTCCCCCGGGGCCCCACCAGAGTCCTCTTAATGGTGACCTTGACCTCAGCCGAAGACTTACTCTTGGTGCTTGTGACCTGGCTGTCCTGGGCCTCGGGAACAAGGGCAGCCTTGCCCAGTCTTTGGATGATGCTGACTTTGGACAGGGACTCCGGCTTCCTCTCCAGCCCAGGGCGGGAAGAAAGGGCAAGACGCCGCAGAGTTGGGGCAGCAGCTGGTGTAGCCTTAGCTGAGCTTGTGGCCTTAGCTTTGACAGTCAGTGCTGGCTGGGGACTGGCCTTGGCTGTGCCCCGTCCTAGCTTCTTCAGAACACCAGCGTATTGCAGGACAGAGCTACTGCTCTCATTGTCACTGTCCCATGCCAGATCCTCATCCATCTCTGGGGTGGCCCCCAGACGGCTGAAAACTCCTGTGGGCTGTGAAGGGCAGAGACAGGACAGGGAGTCATTTAGTCGCTCAACACCCTGCCTCCTCTGTGCTGTGATGAGATCCTACACAGTGATAAGAGCCACAGTGAGGGCGTATCAGGCTGGGGGAATCCCGGCAAAGCCAAGTCACCTCACAGGGATGATGGACACCCTGCAATGTGGCCCAGAGGGGAGGCTTTGGAGCAAGCTGCTGAGGTCAGTTTAGGACAGAATGGGTGGGAGAAACCCAGCAGAAATCACAGACTGGGGCCAGGGCTGGAAATCAGGGAACGGTCAGGATGCAAGCCACTAGTATAAAGAAGGGAACCGAGAGGGCCGAGAATTTAGCTCAGTGGTTTCGCCACCTGTTGCTCATGGGCAAGCACAAGGACCCAAGTTCGATCTCTGGTACCAAAAAACAAAAAGGGAACCGAGGCCTGAAAGGTGGGGAGGCTGCGGGGGCAAAATGCAGAGGTGTCAGGAACAACACCGGGACAGACAAGCATTTGGGAGAACTGAGTCACCCCACTCTTCCCATCTCACCTTGCTCCCTGTAGTCGTGTCGGCCTTGGTCTCGGCGCCAAGGCGGTCAAACACGGATGTCCTGTGCAGACCTGGGAAGGAAGTGAGGCCATCAGGGAGCCCCGGCCAAGCAGCTCCTGGGGCCCAGCCTAGGCTGCGCACCCTGCAGACGCCAAGGGAGAGGACACCAGTCGGCGCTGCTACCGCAGGGACAGCCCGTGCCACGTCACACTCTGCATCTCCCTGCGTGCTGGTAACAACCTTCTCCCACAGCACCTAGCCAGTGTCACCTGTGGCACAGCTCAACTGACACCCAGAATTTCTTGAACCTCAGTACAAGCTCATGAAATGCGTGTGGGTAATGCTTACCCGCTGCTTTCACTTTTGGGGTCATGGGCCTCTGAGGGAATATGATGAATGGCAGTGAGTCCACTTTCTAAATCATAACCTCAGTTCTCCACCAACAGAATGTTCATGGTGTAGAAATACTATGGAAATAAATGGCCATTTAAAAAGAATGAACCCAGCACTCAGGAGGCTGAGGCAGGAGGATCGTGAATTTGAGGCCACCCTGGGCTACATAGTGAGTTCAAAGCCAGCCTGGAAGACACATGAAGATCTTGTCAAACAAACAAAAAAACCTACATGTGGTATTATAAGAAGATCTTTTTTTGTGGGGGGTACCAGGTCAAACTCGGGATCTTGCGCTTACAAGGCAGGCAGCGGAACCACGGAGCTACATCCCTGGCCCAAATCTTAATAAGAAAGCTAGAAGAAGGGCCAGGGATGTAGCTCAGTGCTCAGTGGTGCTTGCCTGAGTTCAATTCCTGGTACTGCAAAAAAAAAAAAAAAAGCGCTATACAACAAAAAGGACGTGGTTTTTTATACAATGAGTCACTACTCTGCCATAAAGAAGGATGAGCTTCAGAAATTTATAGGTAAATGGATGGACCCTGAGACCGTAAATGAAATAAATCGGATACACATGTTTAAATACGGCATTGTTTCTCTGGTGTGAGAAACTGAAAGTGGAGGTAAGGATTGAAATGTATAATGGATGTTGGGAAATGGGAAGAAAGTGTTCAAATGGGAAGGGGAACAAGGAAAGAGGGAGAGAGAAAGGAAGGAAGTGATAAGAAGTGAAAATGGAAAAAATGGAAACAAAGCTTTTGTACATAGGGGAGGGGTTGGGAGAATGGGATAAAATAGAATTTATTAATTAAAACAAAAACAAAAAAAGATATATCATATACAGGTACAAATTCCATAAGATGAATGTGAGCATTATGTATATCTCAAATGTACCAATAAAATTAATTTTTAAAAATTAATAAAAGAAAAAAAAAGCTATAAGATAATACCCATAGGATGACGTCACTTGTGTTTAAAAAAGAAAAATGCTGCACTGAAATGGTTGAAACAGCCATGGGACACAGGAATGAGGGGAAAGAGTATGTTTTTACTGCATATGTTTCGCACCATCTGCAAGTTTTTCCAGAACAAACACAATCTTTTAAGGCGATCCTGCTGTATGAAGCCCATCCCTACAGTAAAACTGTCACAGGCCCTGGGTTTATCCTAAAACTCAACCAGATTCCTCTGCCTTATAGCAGCGATACCCACTTGGGGGCACTCATGTGCTACAGGCAGGCTATCCCTGGCTCCTCACCCTCACCCCTGGGCAAGAGGTGCTGGGGAGCCCGGTTCCATGAGCCACAGGATGATAGGGCAGAGGTGATGTGCTGCCCTCCTCTACAGCCACTGTCACTGACCCCTGGGCCCAAGGCTCCCAAGTCTGCCATTAGATCTGCTCCTCAGCCACCACCTATAGGGCGTGCCCAACGCTGTGCAATGCAGCAAAGTGGAGATGCAGTCTGTCCAGCCCATGGCCTGTATGGTACCTTTGGCCGCCTGCTGCTGCTCGAGGATCTTGCGGGTCCGGGGGGTGGTGCCCTTGGGCATGTTGATGATGTATTTCCCCTCCATCTCAGCAGTGACCCGGCGCCGCTTGGTGGGAACCTCCAGGCTCTCCTCCTCCCTATGGGCCAAGGCTGCTGGGGAGGAAGGCACAGAATCAGTGCCCTCCGGAATGAGTGTTCTCCCAGGCAGGGCCAGACACCAGGCAAAAGACACAGCCCTAGAGCTATGTGGTCCCTTACCTGCCCAAATACCTCCATCACCACCTACTGGGCCACCAAGGCACTCAGAGGCCTGGCAGTGACTGGGCCACAGGTGCCAGAATCCCCAAGCTTTGTGGTTCATGCCAGACCTGGAAGCTGCTGGCTGGTAAGAAGGTTCCAGAGCACCATCCAGGTGCTGCTTTTACACCTGTGCTCCCTGGTGCTGTTTGTTTTGGTAATCAAGCTGTATATAGTACTTCCCATTTGGGCACTGTACATAAGTAAATTCCACTTCAATTTATAAAACAGGAATCCCTTCAAATGTGTCAAAGGGTAAAAACCTGTCTGGCTGCTACAGGAGGCCGCAGGTTCTTTACCACTGACCCCAGGCATCAGACACAGTGCCGGGCATCAGTTGGGGCACAGTGTACATCTGTGACAAAAGCCTGAGCCACTGAGCAGGATGTGTGAAGCACTTGTGCCTCAGCCTGCCTGACCAGTTTGCTGCTGTCCTTGCAGTTGGGGCATCACTGTCCCATTCTAGAGATGCAGAAGCAAGGCCCACAGATGTGACTCAAGTCCAAACACTTTGTGCACCTTGTGGCCTTCAAAGCACCTAGTGAGGACATGGGAGCATGACCCCCAAATACCTTCTGCCAACCCACGTTCACACCAGCTCCTCCCACCACCTGCCCAGGTCCTCTCACCAGAGCCCTTGGCACTCTTTGCTGCCATCTTGTTGGACACAGTAATTGAGATCTTGGAGGTACTGGTGTCTGGCCGCCTTGGTGGAGTGCCGGGTGGGGAATCTCGGTTCAGGCTGTTGGTGATCATTCGGGAGGCAGCTGCAAAAAGAAAGAGGAGAGGCCAGTTAGGCAGGCTCTGGACAGAAGGTCTGGTCCAGCAGTCCCAGGCCCAGGATGGAGAAGCCAAGCACTGGACTAAAGGAGGAAGGGGTGGCCAGCCTTGTAGATGCACTGTCCTCATGGTGCAGGGACATAGAGGGGTTTTCCTCTTTCGGGAACCAGCCCATCCCCTCTGACATTCTGAACCACACTATGCTTTCCTTTTCTACACAGTCCTTAGCACTGCTTGGCAGGAGACTGTATTTATTGGTTTACTGGTGGATTCCCCCACAGAATGCAAGCTCCATGAGGAAGCAGGGTTTGTTTACTGCTGAATCCTTAGTGCCTAAAACCATTACTGCCCCTTCACAGGCCCCCGACAAATGTTTACTGAAACAACGGGCACCATCATTGAAACCACCAGCATCCCCAGTAGGACCCACTGCAAACCAACCCTACAGACAAGGAAACCAAGCTGAGCAAAGTAGATCCAGCTCTAGTTGGACTGGCACAAGAGAGAAGTAGCCTCCCTCTGGGGATGGCAGGCATCTCTGGCAGCCAGGCTCCTGTGGAGAGGAGGGACGGCCCGGGGTGTGCAGGTGGGAGCTGTGAGCATGGTGACTGGAAGGCCAGTCTAGAGCGGGGGAGATGGGTCTTATCTCACAGTAGTTGCTGCTAACAGTGGAGTGTAGGCTTTCCAGGACTTGAGGAAGCCCTGAAGGGAAAGGGAAGGGAATAATCTTCATGCTGCCACTGCTGTCTATATTTGGATGCTAGCTGGTCTTAGTGTCCATCTGTGAAAGCCACTGTGTCCAATCCCCATTCTGTATAACTTGCAGGACTACTGTAGAAATGAGCCCTGATTTGTTCAGCTTTCCTGCATCCATGCCTTTGGGTCAACCCTGCCCACACACATTCTATAGGCCTAGCCACAACACTTGCTCTGGTCAGTTAGATAAGAGCAAATACTGCTGGGCATGGTGGCACACATCTGTAATCCTAGCACTCTGGGAGGCTATGACAGCAGAGTTTGGGGGTAGCAAGTTAAGCAGCAAAGGGTAACATGTGTATGTTAAATATTAGAATTTTTTTTTTTTGGTACTGGGGATTGAACTCAGGTCTTTGCACTTGCGAGGCAGATGGCAGAACCACTGAGCTAAATCCCCGGCCCTAGAACTTTATTTTTAAAAAATTTAAAATTTCACAAATTCATTTATTTATCAAAATTCATTTGAAGATGTAGTTCTATGCAAAGGCCCTGGGTTCAATCTCTAGTACCACACAAAGGAAGGAAGAAAAGGAGGAAAGAAGGGAGGGAAGAGAGAAAAAGAACAAGATTATTCAGGCTGGGACTGCAGCTCAGTGGTAGTGTGTACTTAGTGTATATGAGGTCCTGGTTCAATCTTGAGCACTATGAAAAATAAATAAATAAAGCAAAATAAAATTTATTTCCATATTGATCAGTTGATGAAACCACTGTAACTGGAGGCTTGCAGGAAGTGAACTCTTTACTTCTCTTAGGCCAGTGGTGGCGAACCTATGGCACACGTGATATTTGTTTTTCTTTTAAAACAAAAGATGCTGGACGGGATTTAGCTCAGTGGTGCCATGCCACCTCGAAAGCGCAAGGTCCTGAGTTCGATCCCAGGTACCAAAGAGAAAAAAAAAAACAACAAAAGATGTTAATGTACGGGTTGTCTTTTCTAAACTACAACCTCAGTATTCAGGTTTTAACTGCAGTGTTGGCACTTGGTGATAAATGAGTGGGGTCTGGGTTGTAGTTTGGGCACTCGTCTGTAAATGGTTTACTGTCACTGCCCTAGGAGCAGGGTTCTGTGTTTACTGGGTCAGACCACCATGAACGAGAGTGGTCTGAAAGAGGAGCACAGACTACCCAGTGTATTTTTCTCCCTACCAAGCAGAGCTCGAGGGCTCTGCTTGTACTTCTGCAAACGACAGGAGAGAAGGGATGACCAGGTATGTCCCCTTTAGTGACAGTGTAGGAAAGGGGAAAGAGGCCTGAAGAGACAGGACTCACCACTAGGGGCGCCACGACGTAGCTCAGCCAGGAGGGGGCTGGAGCTGCAGGGCACAGATTCAGTGGCAGCTTTGCACATGTCCTGTAAAACACAGGCACCTACGTTAGCACCACAAAGCCAGGGATGGAGAGCTGAGCCACACTCCAAGGACCAGAGTGCACCTGCTAGAGAAAAGATGTGAAAACATTTCGCACCTGACCAGGAGAAGGTGTCACACACACCCACACTGGGGAACATTCCACAAAATATTCAACCAGTATTCTTTAGAACTGTCAAGACTGGGCTGCGGGTGTGGCTCAGAGGTAGAGCACTTGCCTAGCCTGCCCCTAGCTCCTGGGGCAGAGGGGGTCCTAGAGAGAAATGCTAATTACCACGACAAAGATGAGAACCCGTAATAATCACAGGAACTACAAAGAGTCTTTACCAGGCCCTACTTTAGGAAGTATACACTGTGCTAGCTTAATATTCACACCTATCCAAGATGTTTGCCACCTGCTTTTCATAGGCAGAGAAATAAGGCTCAGAGAGGTTAAACAATGGACCCTCTGTCACACCGCAAGGACCAAACGAGCCTCAGGACTAAAGTCCACCTGCCTTTGCTGCCAGGCCTCCTGCTGGCTATGTGGCTACATCCCACCCCCAGCCCCATGCTAAAGCAGGGACACAGGGCATGGGCAGAGCACCCACCTGGCGGTGTACCACCTTGGCGTGCTTGAGGATGGCAATGATGTCACCCACCACGGTCACACCCAGTTCGTTCATGATTTCCTTGTTGAGATCCAGGAGCATGCTCTTCTGGATCCTGCAGGGGATGGGGAGCAGTGAGGCCCCAAGTGGGCCATGGTGGGCAGCGCTGCCAGCTCCCCACCTCCCCTGCCCAAGCTCAGCCAGGCCCAGGGGCCACCTCACCTGTTATCCACAAACATCACAGCGTAATTCACAGCAGGTCCTGGGGGAATGCCGGCTTCCTTAAAGAACTGGATCCACTCGGAAGTGGCTGGGGGTTAAACAGGGCTCGTTACTCACGTCAGTCTCCTTAGAGAATAGAGCAGCAAAACTGCAACAGCAGTGGCTCCCACGAATCCAATGCTCATTGCCCACCAGGCACCATGCTGAGTGCTGGGCACAGTGGATGGAATGAAGCCCTCCTGACCGGAGAATTAAGCCACATTGAGATTTCCTGATCTGCCAATGAGGAAACTGAGGCAGGGAGGGCTTAGCTGCAGGGCACAATGCTAACAAGGCACACAGTCCCCCAACCCTGAACCTCCTTAACCAGTTGCCAGTCTCCACTCTCCGCACAGCTCCGCCCCGCCCTGGAGCTCGGATGGGACTCCAAGCACCTGGCCAGTGACAGATGTTGTGAGGAAACTGAGGATCTGGGTTCTCTGCCCCAGTCCCCATCAGGAGGATCAGGATCATGATCACAGAGCGGCAGCACACCCCCTTCTACCACAGGAGCAGCCACTCGTCAGAGAGAGGCACTGGAGGTACTAGCCCGGGCTTTGGCGCTTGGGTTCAAATCCCAGCTCTGCCATTTCCTGTCTGAGGGGCTTTGGACAAGTTAAGGCTCAGTGCTTTGGTTTCCTCCTTTGAAAATGTGGGGTCACACTGTACATCTGACACCCAGCACAGGTCAGGTCCTGTCCCAGACAGTGGGGATGTCGTAGGGCACAAGATGAAGTCCCTGCCCTCACAGAGGTGATGGTTGAAAGTTAACAGCACCAATGCCCTTGGGTCCCCCTGCAGACTCAGTGAGAGGCCATCCTCCACCCATGTCAACTATTACTGCTGCTCTTACTACAGCATCACTCAACAGAACTAGGCAGGGGTGCAGCTCAGCGGTATGGCATATGCTAAGCACACAGGAGACTCTGGGTGTGACCCTCAGTACCACCACCACCAAAGCCACAGAGCCACAACAGACCCTCTGTGAGGCTTCACTGCTTCCATATTTCCTTCCTGGCCCTTTGGGTGCCACCCTCAAACTGACCAAGGTCTGTCAGGCCAGGTGTCAGATAGGAGCAGTGATTCCAAGTTGAACACTTTCTTTTCTTTTCCTTCCTTCTTTCTTTCTCTCTCTCTCTTTCTTCTTTCTTTCTTTCTTTTTTTTTTTTTTTTTTGAGACAGGGTCTTGCTATGTACCCCAGGTTGGCCCTGAAGTCTCTATGTAGCCCAGGCTGGCCTCAAACTCATGGTGATCCTCCTGCCTCAGCCTCCTGAGTGCTGGGATTACAGGCATGCACCACCGCAGCCTGGTTCTTTTTCACATTTTCACATCTCTGAGGAGTGCCATGGCTTCACTGGCAACTTCTTTTAACCTTCTCATGGTACGTAACAGTCAGGACACCTAACAATCTATGCCATTTTAGAGTGGAAAAAATTTGGTGTTACTTTGCTAATTTTCCTTTTAAGAGAACTGAGACTCTGAGTTGAAAAACAGACACACTCGGGATCTGACATTTTCCAGAAGGCACACAGGGTTCGGGCAAGGGCTCATGGGCCACACCTCTCCCACGAAGGCCCAGCCCAGCCAGCAGCCTGATCGCCTCCTCAGCCCTGGGAAAGGGGGGCCATTCCCCTCACTTACACAGATACTGCCCACCTGCTGAGCCACAGGGCCCTGTGTTCCGTTAGCCAAGAGCAAGCACCTCTAAGTACCAAGGAGCACCGCACAGCAAGTCTATTTCTAGGGTCTGCTCAGAACACGCAAATGTAGAGAGGCAGAAAGCTGCTAGAGGTCAGGAGGAAAGAGGGAGAAAATTCGGGGGTTGGACCTCTTCTTGGAGAGTGATAAAAATGTTCTGAAATGGATTGTGGTGATGGTTACATAACTGAATATAGAATGTAAAAACCATAGAATTGTACATTTTAAAAAATACATGTCAATGAGTTGTATCTCAATTAAAATGTGATTAAGGACAGAAAGAGCACCATATAGGTTCACGAAAAAGAAACAGAAAGTCATTGTCCAAGGACCTTGGAGAGGCTTTACAAGGTAAAGGCATGGGCCAGTTAAACTGTCATAAGCCACAGCCTGTTAAAATGTAGCCCCACAGGGCCAGGGATTTAGCTCAGTGCTTCTGCCACCTGCCTTGCAAGTGCAAGGTCCCAAGTTTGATCCCCAGTACCAAAAAAAAAATGTAGCCCCACTTCAGAAATGTTACATTGTGCAACAATGTGTCTTAGAATCAGCACACACCAAGAGGAAGCACATAGTAGTCTTCACTGATAACCCCAGCACTCTAGGAGGCTGAGGCAGGAGGATTGCCATGAGTTGAAGGCCAGCCTGAACTACACAGCAGGACCTTGTCTCAAAAACAAACAAACGGGGGGGGGGGGGGGCTAAGCCGAGGCAGGATCCCCGCCTGCTCCTAAGCTCCAAATAACCCAAAGGACACGGGCCTGGGGGAGGCGATGCCTGAAAAAAAAAAAAAAAAAAAAAAAAGAAATAAAACATTTCCAACAAACTAGAACCCCCTGGCTTCCCTCTGTCCCCACTACTCCTCCCTTCCCAAGGGCAGTTACCACTTTCTAAAAGAATGGATTCGTTTTTCCTGCTTCTGTGTTGAATAGAAATAGAATCATAAAGGATATACTCAGATGTTTGCTTTTTAATTACTCATAACAATGCAAATATGTCTTACATACTCTTCTTCTTTTTTTTTTTTTTTTTGGTACCGGGGATTGAACTCGGGTCCTTGTGCTTGTGCAGCAGGCGGCGAAACCACTGAGCTAAATCCTCGGCCCATCTTACATACTCTTATGTAAGTATAATAAATCTCAATATTTTTCAAAGCTGCCCACTAGTCTATGTACCTTGGCAATACCAAAATACACAGCATAGAGAGAATTGGTGATAAGGCTCATGACAATCACAACAGTTAGCCAGGCATGAGAGAAGCTGAGGCAGGAGGATCCCTGTGAGTTCAAGGCCAGCCTGGGCTACATAGTGAATTCAAGGCCAGCCTGAACTGCATAGGGAGATCCTGTCTCAAACAAAACAAATAAAAACAAAAACAAAACATAATCACAACAGTTAGCATTTGCTGAGAACTATGCCCAAGATCTGACATACAATAAACTCCTTCATCCCAGGAGGTAGTAATATTATCTCCATTTCACAGGTGAGTAAACCAAAGTTCTGAGAGGCCAGGTGGGAGATGTGCCAGACTTCACAACCCAAGTTCTTCAGGGCTATACTTCGCACTCAGCAGCCCCGGATCCAAAGAAGGGTAAGGCAGCTTGAGCAGGCCCTGCCCTGCCCCCAGCCTGGTCAGAGTACAGCTGCTCCTGCCAGTGCTGGCCACCCTCCCCCACCCCCTCCCCCCTGGGATGTCTCCTCTCTCTAAGGCCGCATGTCAGAGAGGGCAACAGGAAAGGGACCATGCAGGGAAGGCCAGACTCACCCATAGTCACTGAGACCATCGTCTCTCTGTCCTTGACCTTGCTCCCCAGAGCCTGGAAAAGAAAATGAAGGAAGAGGGCCCATGAGTGGCCACCACCAAGTGCTCGTGTCCCTTTCTGCTGTGGCCTCTCTGCCTACCAGAGGAGCATTCCTGGGCTAGGGGCTCACCACCCAGGAATAGCTGAGCAGCTGGCAGGTCGTCAGCCCAGAACAGGACTGCCACCACAGCTATCTCGCCTGCCTGGGATGAGGCCCAGGAGCAGGAAATGTTCAGTCCCAATCCCACACACCCTGAAAAGTCTAGCAGAACAGAAAAAAGACACCTCCTGCCCAAGACTTCCCCTATAAATAACCATTCATTCATTCATTCAGACAATATTTACTGAGAACCCACTACACGTGAGAACTTAGGGATCCTGAGGGAGCAAAAACATGGACCTAGTATGCAGTTGGGCACAGGGCAGGGGAAACAGAGGAAACACACAGAACAATTCACAATATAGTTAACAGTGGCAGAAGCCATCAGTGTTGTGGCACAAACACGAGGGACCTGGGTGGGGAGGGGCGCAATTTCCAATAGGGTGATTGGAGAACACCTAAAGTGACATGGAGAAGCCAGGCATGGTGAAGCTTCATAGGACTCTGTGAGGCTGAGGCAGGAGGATCACCAGTTGGAGCCCAGCATAGGCAACTTGGCAACTCCCTAAGACTCTGCCTCAAAATAAAAAAGGGCTGGTATGTAGCTCAGAGTAAAGGCCCTGAATTCAATTCCTGGAAGAAAAAAAAAATGGAAAGTGGCTTGTGGCATGTAGAGACCTGAAGAAGGGAATGCAGTGAGCAGAGGTTTAACAGAGGAAGGGTATCCCAAAAGGGGCAGCAAGTCCAGACCCCTGAGCCGGGAGCTCCCAGGCCTCGTGTGCTGGAAGGACCGTGCCTGCAGGAGGGACAGGGTGTGTGTCTGAGGAGTGGCTGCAGCACAGTGAGTGAGGAGAGGAGTGGGAGCAGGCGTAGCAGAGAAGTGCAGCACCTGATCAGAAGGGACTCCAGAGAAGAAAGGGAAAACCAGCTTTCACTTAGACTAGCAGATCTTAGAGACTGAAGACAAGTTAGTACCAATGGGGACTTTCTCTGGACATGAATAGCAATGTTGAAAAGGAACTAAAAGAAGCCAGGTGTGGGGGTGCACACCTGTAATTCCAGCGCTTGGGGGGTGGGGCTGAGGCAGGAGGATTGATACCAGTTTGAGGCCAGCTGGGCTACATAGGAGACCCTGTCTCAAAAATAAATTAAAAAATAAATCACAACAAAAGAACTAAAGGAAAGGAATCTCACACCCATCTCAATGGTATAACTGAGTATGCGGCACTGGCAAGTCACTTCACCAGTTGGACCTTGGTACCCCATCGATGAATCAGGATGGTACAGACATCACCTTGGCAGACTGCTGTGAGACCGAGGTGAGCTCCTGTGGATAAAGGCTCAGAGACAGCGCTTGGTGCCTACTAAGGAGACCCATCGCCCAGGCCTCCTGCCCAACACTCCCTCTCCACCAGGTTCTCTATCTGCCTCCCAGTGTTATTTTGTTTTGTTTCATTTTCTGAGACAGGCTCTACTGGTAGCTATGTTGCCCAGGCTGATCTCAAACTCCTAGGCTCAAGTGATCCTCCTGCCTGTCTCCCAAGTAGCTGGGACTCCAGATGCATACCACTGCACCTGGTCTGTCTCCCAGTTTTGACTCAGGATGCCTGGAATGCCTATTTCCTGTTGTCCTCTGGGCAAGCTCTCCTTCCTCTGCTTGGCTGTCACCTGCTTTGTGAACTTTCTCTAAGTCCCACTCTGAGCCTCTCTCCTCAACCCTGGGTATTTCTTTTGTCTTTGTCTGACTTCTGGTGATCTCTGAATGATAAGCGCCACCATACACATCACTTACCCTGCACTTGACACTCTAGGGTCCATTTTCCCTTCTGGATTTTACTGCTGGACAAACACAATATGGCAGGAATCTCTCAAAGAGCAGGGCATGGAGAGAGCTTTAAAAGGCAGACAGAACAACTTACACGCCAAGCACTAACTGCGCCAAGCCCAGAGCCAAGTGCCATGCTGACACCTGACAACAGCCTCATGAGGGATGACTATTATTAGCCCCATTTTAATCAATAAAAACCTGACCCAGTGAGTAACAGTCATTTGTCAAACGTCACATCTAGCAACTGACCTTACTAGGATTCAAAAACAAGTTCTCCTTGATTCCGATGCCCATGGAGTTGCTCCTATTGAGTGTTCATATCATGTCAGGAACTGAGTATACACACATCTCATCCTCACAGCCAGCCTGGGAAAAAAGTAAGTGAGGAAAAAAAAGTTAAAAAACAAATGAGGGTGGCAGGTCCAAGATCACACAGCAAGTGACAGCAGGGCCAGGACTTGAACTCAAGTCAGCCCAATAGCTATGGTTGATACTGATTGCAGGATTTCTATGATCCAGGCGCTGTGGTCTGCCACTGAAAGGTCTCACTTAATGCTTACCAGAATCCTTTAAGTGTTGGTATTCTCTCACTGCTGCAGAATTCTTACTGTACTCAATTTCTTCTACCATCTTTCTCTCTTTTTGAGACAGTTTCCTTAGGTAGTTCAAATTGGCTTTGAACTAGTAGTGATCCTCCTGCCAGCCAAGTGCAGGAATTACAGGTGTGGGCCACCACACCCAACTCCTTTCTCTACTATTTTATTTTGTTTTGTTTTGAGACAGGGTCTCAATATGTAGTCAGGCTGGCTTTGAACTACGTGGCCCAGGCTGGCCTCAAACTCCCAGTGATCCTCCTGCCTCAGCCTCCCAAGTGCTGAGATTACAGACCTGATGTCTACCATTTTAAAATTCCATCTCCTGCTGGGGATGTACCTCAATGGCACCATGCCTGCCTGGCAAGCACAAGGTCCTGAGTTTGATTCCTAGTACCAAAAAAATAAAATAAAAGTCCATCTCTAGAGGTAACGATTCTAAATAGTTGAAAATTTTTTTACTTTATTAAGCTTATTGGTACAAATTAAATATACATAATGATCACATTCATCATAGGGAATTTATACTTGTACATGATATATCTTGATTCTTTTTTATTTAAATAATCAAGATTAATAAAATAGCAATTTATTGAAAGTTTGGGCCCGGCCTAGGCAACCAAGCAATTTAGTGAGACCCTGTTTCAAAACTAAAAAATAAGGGTGGAGTGTGGTGGTACACATCTGTAGTCCAGCACTCAGGAGGCTGAGTCAGGACGGTCAATGCAAGTTCTAGGCCAATCTGGGCTACACAGTGAGTTCAAGGCCAGCTTGAACTGCATAGCAAGATCCTGTCTCAAAAAACCAAAGGGAAAAAAAAAAAGAAGTAACACCCTCTGGCTTCAAATACTCTTGTCCACACCACTGTTCTTGCCACTTTCTGAAGGTGTTGTGTAAAATTCCTCTTTCATATCTTTATGAGATGTGATAAAAAAAAAAAAAAAATACACTGGGCTGGGGATTTAGCTCAGTGGTTCCAGCGCCTGCCTCGCAAGCTCAAGGACCCAAGTTCGATCCCCGGTACCAAAAAAAAAAAAGAAAAAGAAAAAAATACACTGAATGCTGCTGCCAGGTACCATCCAGTGAAAAGCAGGCTTGTAAAAACACTGTGATGTGCTGGGCATGGTGGCACACACCTGTAAGCCCAGTACTCAGGAGGCTGAGGCAGGAGGATTGCCATTGAGTTTGAGGCCAGCCTGGGCTACATAGTAAGTTCAAGGCCAGCCTGAACTATATAGTGAAACCTTGTCTCAAAATTAAAACAAAAACACTGTGATTTGTCTTCATCCACCTTAATCACCAGATCTGGCACCATGCAACTTCTGGCTCTTCCCCAAAGTCAAAATGACTATGAAAGGTTAAACATTTTCTATCAATTCAGGACATCAAAGTGGCCACAACAGTACAATTAAGGACACTCATGAAAAAAGACTTTCAGAACTGCTTCAGAAAGTGGCAAGTGAGCCGGGGATTTAGCTCAGTGGTTTCGCCGCCTGCTCTGCAAGCGCAAGGATGAGAGTTCAATTCCCGGTACCAAAAAAGAAAGAAAGTGGCAAGAACCATGGGACAAATGTATTTGAATCAAGGAGGAGGGTATTAAGGAGGATTAATGGGAATATTCCTTTTACTAGAATAATTTTTTTTTTTTTTTTACTGAGACAGGGTCTCACTATGTAGCTCAGGCTGGCCTCCAACTCACAGCAATCCTCCTGCTTCAGCCTTCCAAGTGCTTGGCTTTCAGGCATGTGCCACCCACAGACGGCAATTTTGAAAAATTTCAACATACACTATATTTTTTATCATACCCCATATAGTTTATCCCTTTTCCAATTTCCTTTCATTTACTGTTTACAGTTTAATATATTCTTTTTGTTTCCACTGTATTCTGCTTAAATTTTCCTTCTTCTCAAGGCAACCAATGTTAATTTTCCATTAGGACAGCAAAGCAAATTTTCCCACTCGAATAATCTGAGGAAAATGCACATTTTCAAGAAAAAGAAAAAATTATATTACAAGACTTGGCAAAACTCGACCAAACAGTAAGTGGCAGGATGTCGATTTCCCTGCTCGGGCTGTTTTTCCGATTGTTGTTCCCGAGCTTTCTCCCTTCTGTACTTCCTTGGAGTTGACGGCTACAATAATGACTCTCGGAGTTTTTAACATTTTAGTTCCAATCTGTTGAGCCCTTGCGCTGCTACAGGCTTTACGTGTATGCTGCATCAGAATCCTTTCATCGAACCTATTAGCCTTCACTGGAAATGGGGGGGGGGGGGGGACGGAGGTCCAGAAGGTGAAGGCACAGGCCACGGCCGTACGGTGCAGCTGACACCTGGACCCAAACCCACTGGCCTCCAAGCCCAACAATCTCACTCCCGGCTCAATCATCGTCAGTGCTAACAATAATGGTCCAGAAACGAGGTGAGCACTAGGTGAAGGTGCTGAGCTAGGGGCTGGGACGTGCACTTCTCATTCAACCCATAAAGCGCATACACAGTCGGAACCTGACCCCCATTCTACAGAGGAGAAAACTGAGGCTCAGAGAAAGAAATCGCTTGTCTAGACCCCCAGAGCGGAGCCCAGGCTGTAACTCCAGAGCCTCGGACACCATCCATCCCCACCGCAGCCAGCCCGGTTCCACCACCCCCAGCCCGAGCCTCACCTGGCCCACCGAGCCCGCGCCCATTCGCGCCGCCCACCACCCTCCAGACGGCGCCAACTGTCAGACACTCCTCCCTCGCCCCGGATCCCCGCCCCGGAAGTTCCGTCTCAACGCCGGAAGCCGGTGGAGCCCGCCCACGGCCGCTCTAGCCCACCCGGCAGCCCCCAGCGAAATTGCGACGGCGAGTCACGTGATAAAACGGGACGGGAGCGTCGTCCCCCTCCCCCCCCGCCTCACCAAAGGCGTTTCCTCCGCCCAGTGCGGGGCGAGAAGCGCAGCCAATGAGAAAGGCCCAGGCCTATCCCCCGCCTTCCCGCAGTCTAGCTGGAGTGCGCCTGCGCGCAGGTGTGGCAGGAAGGCGGGGCCAGAGCCTAGGCGTTGCGCTCAGGGCTGGTTCTGAAGGGGGAGACGCGGGAGTACAGGTACTGTGCGATCTGTGGGCGCCGCGCCTCGTCAGCCCTCCCTGTGTTGTTACCCTTTCGTCTCTAATGCGTCCGCCTCTTTTGTCGCCCTTGGTCCATTTTTGTCACTCATTCCTCCTCTTAAGTCATATACCGCTTGACCCGTCACCACCCCCCTTCTGTTGCCGACACCCTCATGTCGCCCTCGGCCCCTTAAAATCGCTTTGTTTCCCAGTAAACCCTCACTGCTACCATCTGTGCTGTCTCCCTTCTTTAAGTCGTCGCCGACTTATGTCGCCAGTACTCATCTTTGCTGCCATTTGTCCTTCGTGAAATCTTCACTGCTAAATCGTCCTCATAGCCCTCTTCGCACACCTATCGCCGCTTCTCCCCTTAGATCGTGCTCACACTCGCCGTTTGTCGTCATTGCCCCTTACGTCTCCGTCGCTGCCCTGTCACCATCGCTCCTCTCCTTAGACAGTCACCGTCCCTCCATGTCTCATGCCCACGTTTTCCCCATGAGAAGCCACGCAGTCTTGCAGCTGTTTTTCCTCCCACCAGGTCTCCGTCCTTTGCTGTGTCAGGTTTCACATACTCCCACTGATCAGGTACTAGAGCCCATGACCTGGGCTGTGTCAGCGCCCAGCTCCACCTCTAAACCTCTGGGTAACCTTGGCCACCTGAGCAAGCCTCTCCCAGCCAGCCCAGCTTCCTCATCTGTAAAATGCACTCAAGAACACCCACGTCTGGGATGAGTGTGAAGAAGCTGCTAATTTATTCTTGTCATGCGCTCAGCTTGACTTGACATTTGGGGCTAATATTGTTATTGAGCCTAGGACTCTCACCCTCCTCCAGTCTCCCCAGCCCCCACCTGCACTCATCATTCCCCTGGCATCACACTCCACATTGGCCCAACACTCTCACAGCAGTTACGCCACCCCACCATCTACACATTGCCAGCCCCTCTGCCACTAGCCGCACCTTAGTGACCCATTGGCTATTATGAAGCTTGCTCTGTAAACACTTAGTCCCTCTTTATCTTGTTGGATTGAGTCACACACACCCTCACCCCCTAAGTAAGAGCTACTGTGGGAGTCAAGGAGGGCTTGGAAGGGGAGGTCATAGGTCGTTTAGACTCAGATCTTCCTGAATTTCATTTGGTTTTTTTTGGGGGGGGGGGCCACCGGGGATCGAACTCAGGTCCTTCTGCTTGTGAGGCAAGTGGTGGCACCACTGAGCTAAATCCCCGGGCCTCTTCCTGAATTTCTAGAATTGGGGGTACAGAGAGATGAGGCAGGGCCCCTACACTTCAGCCCCCACAAGTCCTGACTCCCTAGGTAGAGAGGTAAGTATCTTATTCACACAGCTTATTTTAGGCAGTGTGGTACAGTGGTTAGTGATGTGTGCCTGGAGGCTGGAACATTCGAGTTCCAGTCTTGGTTCTTAGTACTTAAAGAGCTGCAGGGCCTTGTGCATGTGGCTTAAGCTCCCTGTGCCTCACTTAGCACATCTCCAATATGGGAATGAAAACACAAATTATTCATTGAGCACATATTTCTTAAGCATGTACTATGTGCCCAGCATTGTACTAGGAACTGGGGACAAATCAATGAACAAAACAAAAATCCCTGGCCTCATAGGGTTTACATTCTAGTGGGGGTAAGAGACAATGAACAAACATTGTATGTAGGTAAGAAGATTATCTGATGTGTTAGAAGGGGGATCCATGGTCATGGTCGGTTGTGGTACTGGGCATTGAACACTGCCTTCATGCGCTAGCCAAGTATGCTCCCACCAAGCTGCACTCCTAGCCTGTAGTTTTAAGTAAGGGAGTCTAGGAAGGTTTTCTGAGAAGTGACAACTGAACAAAGACTTGCCGAAGAAGAAAGAGTGGCATGGCTATCTGGGGGAAGGGATTGTAGGCAGAGAAAACAAATGCAGAAGTTCAGCAGTTGGAGCATGCTTGGGATATTTAAAGAGGAGCAAGAAAATCGGTGAGGGTCAGGAGGAGACATGGAGCATTTTGTGGGGTCTTGTGAGCTGTGGAGAAGACTGGCCTTTCCTCTGAGTGAGGGAGCCACAGAGGATTTGGAGCAGAGGAGAGATGCAATCCAACGTGACATGAAGCCATCATGCCAACCTGTGGCAGCTCCAGAACTTCTACTGAGGATGGATTGGCAAGTGGCAGCCTTGTTGGAAAGAAAGCCAGAGCCCTCTTCACATTCCACACCTATATCCTTTACATTTACACAGTGCTGCAGAGAGCTCCAGCAGATTTGGAGAGATAGGGTGTTGCTGGGACTTTTGAGAGACCAAACCCAGCACTGGGGCAGCTGCTTTCAAAGAACTGTGGAGCTGACACTTTTAAACAGGGCAGGCAGCTGGCAAGGAGCATCTGTTCCTGGAACCCTGAGATACCCTGAGTTCAAATCCTGGCTCACCCTTTCCTGGCTGTGTCCCCTGGTACCAATAACTTAACCTCTCTGGGTTTGGGGGGTTTTTGTTTTGTTTTATATTGGCTTTTTGTGGTGCTAGGGATTGAACTAAGGGCTTTGCACATGCTAGACAAATGCTCTACTACTGAGCTTCATCCCTAGCCTGCATTAAATTTTGAAACGGGGTCTCTTAAGTTGTCCAGGCTGTCCTTAAATTCGAGATCCTCCCGCTTCAGCCTCCCAAATCACTGGATTACAGGCATGGACTGCTGTGCCCATCTGGTGTATTTTCTTATTTGCTATGAGATGGTTCAGCAGTATCCTGGAACAGAACTGAACTTGGGTTTCAGATTTCCATCCAAGCCACCAATGCCATGCAACCTGAACAGGTGATGCCCTTGAGCCCTGAGTCCTATCTGAAAAGCAAGAATAATGCTGCCAGCCCCAGACTCATCCTGTTGTTCTGTTTGAGCAAGGACATCACATTTTCACATTTTCAGTCATCATGCCACTGTCCCCCTCTCCTACTTTATTTTTCCCTAAGACATACACCATATATGTCACTCATTTATGGTCCCATCAGGACCATCTTTAGAGGGATGAGGGGCAGCAGTACTGGGGATTGAACCCAGGGCCTTCACACTGAACTGTGTATATCCCAAGCCCTTTTTTATTTTTTATTTTCAGTCACGGTCTCATTAAGTTGCCCAGACTGGGCTGGAATTTGCAGTCCTCTGCCTCGGCTTCCCAGAGTGCTTGGACTACAGGCATGCACCACTGTCCCCTGTGTTTTATGCTGTGTCCTCAGTTTCTAGACCAAGGCTTATCAGTGAGTAGCCAGTAAGTTTGGCTAAGTGGGTAGATGAATGAACTGGCCACTGAGCACCTGGTACTGGGGACACAGTGGTGACTGAAACAGACCAGCCCTGCCCTCCTGGGGCTCACAGCCCAGTGAGAAAGACAGACTCATCCCCAGGCAGTGACATCCCAGAGAGATTAGGGGCTGGGTTCAGAGTGGCACAGGCGGATGGGATGGGGGCAGTGGTGGGGGCGGGGGCAGGGGGGCGTGGTGATTGTGGGATGCCAGAGAAGGTGCCTAAACCAGCCTGGGGGTCCAGGGCTTCCTGGAGGAGGTGATGCAAAAGCTGAGAGGAATGAGCAGCATGGGAAGGAGGGAAAGGTGTGCTGCACAAGATCAGCTACTAGAGGTCTGGTGACAAATGTGTGACTTTGATTCAAGGAACTGAAAGATACTCACTGTGGCCAGATGTAAAGCACGATTAGAGGGTGAGCCGAAGAGTCATTGGCGGAGTTAGGAGGGTCTTGTGAGGCCTTGGGAGCACAGTGAGGAGCCGCAACATTGTTCTCAGGCCACTGGGGAGCCACAGAGGGTTTGAGCAGGAGAGGAACAAGTCAAATTCAGACTGGGCCAGGGGCTGGAAGGATTGAGTGAAAGCTGGGCATTGAGGGAGGTGGGGGGAGCCAGGTTGGAGCTGGGAGAGGGATGAGTGGAACAGATCCTCAGGAGGCCAGCTCGATGAGGTGTGGGGGGCAGGACAAGCCTGGGGCTGAAGGAATCAGGGAGGGCTTCCTGGAGAGGTGGCGGCCAGGCAGAGCCCTAAAGAATGGGTGGGAGAGCTGTCCCTGAAATGAGCTGGCTTAGGAGAGATGGTAAGGATAGTTTGGGACATGGTGGGTTGAGGGGTCCAGGGACAGCTCAGGGAGGTACCTAGAAAGCCACAGAAGCTCTGGAGCTGGGCTTCAGGGAAATGTGAGGTCTGGAGACAGGGCTTTGGGTCCAGAAGAGGAAACTGAAACTGCAATGGTGGGTGAGGGGCCACCTCACCTAGGACAGAGAGTGCACCTTGGCCAAGTATGGTGGTGCATGGCCACTATCCCAGGCACTTGGGAGGCTGAAGCAGGAGGATCATAAATTCAAGCCTAGTCTGGGCAACCTAGTAAGACCCTGTCTAAAAATTTTAAGTGGTAACACTCCCGTGTAATCCCAGCATGAGAGGCTGAGGCAGGAGGAGTGCTAAGAGTTTCAGGCCAGCCTGGGGTACATAGTGAATTGAAGGCCAGCCTGAACTGCATAGCAAGACCCTGTCTCAAAAAAACAAAACAAAAAATCTAAAGAGAGCTGGGGATATAACTGAGTACTCCCTGTGTTCAATCCCCAGTGCCACATACACACACACACACAGTCTGACTTTGTACTTTGGTCCTAAGGGCAGTGGGGAGCCACAGAAAGGTTTTGAGCAGGAGTGGGACCACTCAGAATTTTCAGTGCCAATTCAGAAGTACTTACCATTCATGGTACTGTTTTTCACTTAATTATTCTTCAGACTGATCAGCTTCACCCTAGGCATGCCACTTG